AAGTGGGGTCCTGAAGGGCACCCCTTCGCTCCACCCCCCCCCCCAAAATGAGCAACCGCCTTTGTGCGCCTGGATTCCAGATGCCAGGGAAACACAACAGGGAACCAGACCAAGGCGTTCTTATCCCAGTGGCGATCTCTCTGGTGGGGAGACAGACCAAAAGCAAGATGTGTGGCTTGTGGGGTCATGATAAGGGCGACAGAGGAAAATGCCGCAGGAAGGGAGTCAGAAGGCGGTGGAGGTGCATTTTACATACAGAAACTTGAATACAACGGGAAAGGAGCACAGGGTGCGGGGGCGGGATCTGGAGCAGGAAGAGCCTTCTAGGCAAATGGAACAGCACGTGCCAAGGCCCTGAGGTCAGAGTGTGGCCCTGTTCCAGGAGAGCAGAAAGGCCAGAGAAGAGCAAGGGAGAGGGGAGGAGTGGGCAGGGCACAGAGGTGCCGAAGGAGGAACTCAGCCACGGGCTTGACGAGGCTGTTGGGACGCCAGGCAGGACTGGAGGGGGAGGGAGGCTCTGAGCCCAACCCTGACCCACCCTCACAGAAAAGCAGCAGAGCAGGGACCCCTGGGCAAACGGAGGGAGAACCGCGTATGCAGAATCCGGGAGATGACGGAGCGACAGCCAAGAATCCACAAGTTTCACTGCACACGTTGCACAAAGTCTGATTTGTTTCAGTCATGTGCACAAGCTTTTGCATACTTTTTAATTTAAAAAAATATATAAAATGTTAACACTTTAAGACTTTATAAAATAGTATCACTAGCATCCCATTTTTCTGTGTCTTGTTTTTTGTTCATTTTCACCTGAGGATATTTTTCCATTCATTTTTAGAGAGAGTGGGAGGGAGGGGGAGAGACACAGAGAGAGAAACACTGATGTGAGAGAGAGACATCAGGTGGTTGCCTCCTGCATGTGCCCCGATCAGGGCCGCCAGGGATCAAGCCTGCAACCAAGCTAAGTGCCCTGGACTGGGATCGAACTTGGGCCCCTTCAGTCTCGGGCTGACGCTCTCCACTGAGCCGAACTGGCAGGGCCATCCCATCTTTCTGAAGACAAATGTAGGCATAGAAAAATGAATGAGTAGTGACTCTCCAGGCAGAGAGATTACTGGAGAGTGTCATTGTTTCTTTGTGCTTTTCAGTATTTTCCAATTTTTCTATAAAACCACGTCTTACAATAAGATAAAAAATATATACATTTTTAAAAATATGTCTTAAAATGTATTTCTATTGATATCAGAGAGGAAGGAGAGAGGGATAGAAACATCAATGATGAGAGACTCACTGGTTGGCTGCCTCAGGCACGCCTCCTACTGGGGATCGAGCCCGCAACCCAGGCATGTGCCCTTGACCGGAATCGAACCCGAGACCCTTCAGTCCACAGGCCGACGCTCTATCCACTGAGCCAAACCAGTTAGGGCTAAAAAATATAAATTTGCGTGGTGTTAAAAAAAAAATACAGAAAGCATAGATTACTCCTAAAACACTCCTGTACCAACCATATGAAGAAGCAAATGTTAACATTTGGTCCTAATTGGTTCTGATCATTTCTTTTTTCCTTTTTTGTGAAAACAAACAAACAAACCAAAAACCACACAAAGAAACAGTAGGGATGGAGTTGAAGACCCTGCCCTACCTCTTTGTCCCCCCACCCGATTCCACTCCCCTGCTGTCTCCCCAGAAAACAGCCGCTGCCCTGATCCGGAGTGAGGTCCGTTTCCTGCGTTTCCATTTGACCACAGATTTGTTAAGAGGAAGTCTGTGTTTGTTCTGCGGGCAAAATAATTAACAGGGCTTTTAAAACAACACTCCATACAGTACATCCTAAATAATAAAGAGCTAATATGCAAATGGTCATCATGCCCTCACACCGTCACACTGTAAAGGCTCAGACACTCAACACTGGGGAGAGAGGAATGGGGACCAGCCAGGCTGCGGCCCAGGAGAGGGACAAGCTGCCTGCCCTGTGGTCCTGGGCACCTGCGGCTGTGGCCTGGGCAAAGCCACCTGCCCACGGTCCCCTGCGGCTGCAGCTGGCCTAGGTCCTGGGTGCCTGCAGCCAACCAGAGGGAGGGAAGCCTGGGTCCCGGGTCCCGGGTTCGGGGCAAGGCAGAAGCGGTTAGGTATCACGAGAGGCAGTCAGGCATTCCCAGAGGGGTCCTGGATTGGAGAGGGTGCAGGCCGAGCTGAGGGACCCCCACCCCCATGCACGAATTTCGTGCACTGGGCCTCTAGTAAATTATAAAATGGAAAGAGAACACCCACCCCCAAAGAAAGGAGAGCCATTAATGGCTAGAATATAAGTTTCTCCAGCATGTCAGCCCCAGCAGGGTGGGCTTTCCTGCCTGTGCTCTCACTGCTGTGTCAGCCGGTGCTGGGCAAACAGTGGGTGCTTAATACATGTTGAAAACATTCTTAAGTTTCTTGGATTATACCCATTTTCTTTTTTTAATATATTTTATTGATTTTTTACAGAGAGGAAGGGAGAGAGATAGAGGGTTAGAAACATCGATCAGCGGCCTCCTACACATCTCCTACTGGGGATGTGCCCGCAACCCAGGTACATGCCCTTGACCAGAATCGAACCTGGGACCTTTCAGTCCACAGGCCGACACTCTATCCACTGAGCCAAACCGGTTTCGGCGATACCCATTTTCAAAGTAAACTATTTTAATTTGGAATATTTTAGATTTACAGAAAAGTTGTAAAAACTAATGCCAAGCGCTTCACTATGCTCCTCACTGTTCCCCCTGTAGCCATAACCACCTGTAACTACTAAGAAATTGTATTTCTTGGTTGTGTTACAATTCACAAACCTGCAGGCTTTGGTTGGGTGTCACCAGTTTTTGCACAAATGCCCCCCTTCTGGCCCAGGATCCCACATATCATTGTGTCCTCACGCCTGCGGGGTCTCATCCAGTCTGGACACGCCTCAGACCTTTATCTTTTTCATGACTGGGACATGTTTGCAGAGCCCGGATTCTCCTGTAGAAAGTCCCTCCATCGAAGGGTATCTGGTATTGTGCTCATCATTAGCCCGAGGCCACGGGCTGCGGGAAGAAACCCCAGAGGTGGGGCGCCCTCCCCACTACATCCTATCAGGGCCGTCCGTCTGGTTAAGGTGGTGTCCGCCGGGTGTCTCCACTGAGCAGTGGTTAAGGTGGTGTCCGCCGGGTGTCTCCACTGAGCAGTCCCAGCTGTTGCTTTCCCATGCTTTGTTCACTGGATGAGAGCCAATAACTTTTGAGCCCTGTCCACACTCAAAAGGAGGCTGGGCCCTAGCTGGTTTAGCTCAGTGGATAGAGCATCAGACTTGGGACTGAAGGGTCCAGAGTCCCATTCTGGTCAGGAGCACATGCCCGTGTTGCCGCCTCGATCCCCAGTCGGGGGCGGGGGGGGGGGGGGTGCAGGAGGCAGCTGAATAATGATTCTCATCATTGATGTTTCTATCTCTCCCTCTCCCTTCCTCTCTGAAATCAATAAAAATATTTTTTTTAAAAAAAGAGGCTGGACCCTAGCCGGTTTGGCTCAGTGGGTAGAGCGAGTGGGTAGAGCGACGGCCTGCGGACTGAAGGGTCCCAGGTTCGATTCCGGCCAAGGGCACATGCCTGGGTTGCGGGCTCGATCCCCAGTGGGGGGTGCACAGGAGGCAGCTCATCAATGAATGATTCTCTCTCATCATTGAAGTTTCTCTCTCTCTCTCCCTCTCCCTTCCTCTCTGAAATCAATAAAAATATATTTTAAACAAAAGGAGGCTGGAAGGACTGCGTTCTGGCTCCCGGAGGGGCCTTTGACTGACATGACCTGGAATTCTTTCTAAGGAGGATTTGACTCATTTGCCCTCACGCCCATTTTAAAGACCAGAAGACTGAGGGTGGAGACTTCCTCCCTAGACGGTGGCCCAGCCCAGGCCGAGGCCCCACCCAGCGCTATGGCGCCCCAAGTGTGAAGGCAGGTGGCGACTCCGGGCGGTGGGGGAGCGGGGAGCGGGGAGGAAGCCGGCCCGCAGCCGTCGTCCGGCCCCCATCGTGTCCGCGCTGCCGGCGCCCTGGGGCGGGGCGGCCGGGCAGGATTCCGGGCGGGG